TATCTTAATATAACTTTTTATATTATTTTTAGTATTTTTTTATACTTTTATTTAAGAATAAATAAGGCAAAACTTTTTACTTTTGAAGTAATCTGTATCTTCGCTTTATCCGATGCGGTCCCTAATCCGATGCCTGAACCTGAGCCATGGGGAAATGGTGGCAGTGGTGCTGGTAGCTCCGGTATCTACATAATCTCAAACGGTGGCAGCACCTTCATGTGTAATTGTCCTGGTCAAACTGGTTTTATTCTTCAATGTTGTTCATGCTTCTTCAATTGTTAAAAATATACATGTATTAGTATATTTATCAATTCTAATGTAAAAATTAGATGAATTTTATTTGAATTTTTAAATAAATAAAATTGGTAAAAATTGATAACAATATAATATTTTAATTCGATGCTCACTTATTAATAATAAGTTAAACTTTTGTGCTTAAAGAATTAAACCAAAAGTATAATTCGACTAAGTGTGTGATGATGAAAAAATTGTTAATGTCAAATATTCGCTTTACCTTTATCGAAGAGATTATAGATTATTTTCAAGAATCGAAAACTTTAAAATTTCTGTTTTTAAGATCAGTATAATTTTCATTAAAAGATATATAGTAAAAACTATTTTAATTTAGAACTTATCTTAAATTACGTTTGTCCGCTTGACCGATTGATTTTAAAAAAGTCCAAGAATTTAAACGAGAAATCTATGGATTATCTGTATGTTATCAGGGAGAAGTATTGATACTAGATTCGACTAATTACGTGTATATGTTGTGCCTCAGATACCTCTTTGTGTCAAATTGCGCTTCACGTAATTCTTCTCGGCCAACATTAACTAATTTCCCAGCATTAATTCTGACCCTACCCTAACTATAGTAATATCCCTATCTTAAATTTAGGCTGAGCGTGCGTGATCTGACGCAAGAAGGCATCTGAGACACAACATATACACAAGATGTTGATTCTTCAAACACGTAGTTCCAGGTATAGATGGATTTTGACAGAATCTCATCCATATCGATATGATGTTATTGCTAAAAACAGTAAAAAAGATATCAGTATCATCAATAAAAAACATGACAATAATATTCTGGTCTTTATGCATAAGAGAGTTCGCATTAGCATCGACGGTAAACCCCAAAGGTAGTCCAAGTAGTAGTGCTAAAGGTTTCGTTAGTTCCAGATCAAGTAACAATTGGGTGTTTTGGTATTATAATGGCTCAGGATACAACCGTAGATGTGGAAATTTTTGTATTTTGACATTTATTCTTATCGGGTTAATTCT